TAAGTATTGTCCTGTATTTTATTAGTTTTGATTTAAAAATCGTTGTAAATCACAATATGATTTGTGTGACAATTGTAATTTGATATTTCTTTGTTTAATTACCAAAGTAATAGTGAGTTTTTCATTCGTGAATATGCAAACGTAAAAAATGCATGACTGCAAATATGGCCACCGCGTGGCCATATTTCCGGTACTAAGTAAGTAGTAACCCTTTTTTTTGTTTTAGATCATGGCATGCTATAAATCTAAAGGGATTAGAGGTAATTGGTCAGAAGCATCAATGAATGAATAAATTTGTTTGCACTCGATGCAGTCAGGACTAATTAAAATATTTATTTTATTAGATTCGCCTACTTTTTTCTAGTTTAACATATCATTGTGATTTATCTATCAAGGATCTCGAAGTTTACGTTTTATTTTTGATAATTTTGTTGATTTGAAGTAAGTACAGTTTTTTAAGGATTTAAAGTTTAGAATATCTTGTTGAATCTCATTGTTGATTTTATCTTTCATTATATTTCTTGTAAACATGGTTCTTTATTTGTATTGAATATCGCCCAAAGAATATCTTTTAAATAAATTTTCTATTAAAATATGATAACTATTTTTATTTCATTTTATTTAGAAGATTTTTAAACTACCTAACTCATACAGTAAATATGGCCACATGTATGGGCATATTTACCTCCCCCGTCGGAAATATGGCCAATTTCTATATTTTAAAAATGTTGAAAATACTTTTTTATCATTAGAAGTCTTTACATTTTTTTGCCTTTTTTGTAAAGATAAATAACCACTCTTTATATATGAGTGCTAAAACTTTCTTGTTTTAGCTTTATTATTATTAAAAAAGAATACCAAACCTTAAGGTGGCCATATTCGACCCAGGTACCTTATCTCGGGAATGCGTAAAGTTATCGAGTTGAAATTTGAAATATGCTCTAATCTACAATCCCTTGAAGCAGTGAAAAAATCTAACTTCTAAGTTAATACGTAAAAAAGATACGGCCGTATAGCTGTCTGTCTGTCGTGACCCTTTACCCGTTAAAATTTAAATCATATAATAAGGTCTACGGTCCCTTGAATCTGTAAAAAACCACACGTTCGTCCACACCAACAACCTTTTAAGTTAATTTGAAACAAAGATACGGCCGTATAGCTGTCTGTCTGTCGTGACTCTTTATCTCAGAAACACGTCAAGGTATTGAGTTAAAATTTAAATCATAATAATAAGGTCTACGGTCCCTTGAATCTGTGAAATACCACACGTTCGTCCACACCAACAACCTTCTAAGTTAACGTGAAACAAAGATACGGACGTTTATGTTGCGTATCTACAAATTTATACGGAACCCTCGGTGGCGACGTCATCTCGCACTTTTTTGTTATTTTTTTTAAATATTTAATCGAATTCGGAGTAGATGTTTGTGTGATGAATACGAGCATTTCTTCTCCAGTCCTGGATGTTTAATGTGAATTTCAATATAAATATACTTTATATTATATGTGTACAGTATATGTATTCTATCCGTTACCCTAGTATCCCATAACACAAGCCTTACAGTGCTTACTTTGGGGCTAGGCTAATTGGAGTGTTGGAAATATTTATTTATTTATTATTAATTTATTTATTTACTGTAAGCGGACCCTAAAGATGTTGTCGATATAACTACAAAAATTACTAAAAACTGACTGGTGCGCCATCTATCTGGGAGAGTTAATTTTAGCGCATTTAGTCAACGATTAGGGTTGTCGAGAAATCGATAATATTTATATAGATTTGTTAAATTCATGGATATCGATAATAATATATACAAAATATGGATTTATGGAAGGCTAAATTTTTAAACATATTTAGTATTTGTTTATTCTAAGTGATATTAAATCTAATTGAATGCAAATTTTGTAATACTAAAAATATCGTTTCAAACTTTCAAGAGCCTAATGTCGTTAAATATATAATAATAGTTTATAATTTTGAAGTGAACACTACAATCTTAACCGTGAGTTATTTTTGGTGGTAGCTTGATATAAGTGGGTTGTGAATTTTTAACTGACTGAGAGACCTACAAAAATCACTACTTTGTTTTGTTTGAAAATAAATATTTTGAGCAAAATAAAGGTTCTGGGTGGTAGGGTAGGTTCTGGCCGCCTTTGTTTTGCCAATTTATTGCCATGCTTTATAGTTTTGTTGGCAAAACAAACTACAAAGGATACTGAAAATATCGATAAATTTCGCGTTAATATGGTCCATATATCGGATATCGATATTTATCTAACTTCGATATATATATCGTTATTGCTACAGTTATTGCTATACGTTATTATTACAGAGCTATAAAAAATTCTAAGAATATTAACACTCAATATATTTATGTATCGATATATTTTTTATTTTGTAGGTTGTATATTATTTAAGTAGTTAATTCTTTTTAAGTTTTTAGACAATAATTAGTTTTAAGCTTTTGTAATTTAAATATTAATATGTGTTACTTAATTCTATATTTTCAAAAATACTATCGATGCTAACGCGTTAGCATGGTCAATATATCGGATAACGACATTTCAAAAAAAATTGTTTATCTTTCGATATTAGTATCGTTTTATTTAGTACCAAGCTTCGTCGCGCTAGTTGGGAGAAGAATGACACACATATACACGACACGATACTACAACTAAAAATGTCAAATTGACATTGTTTTAATTAATATACATACATATTGACGAGTCACACCAAATGTATTTATTTATTTATTAATAATATTACATTGTGTTGGAAGTTCTTATGATGAAACTATATATATGTAAATTCTTGCAACTCGCCCTCGGTTTTTAAAATACCTATTAAACAGCAGTAAGTACTAATATTTTAAAATAGTTGAATGTGATATTATATACTGCTCTGACTGTGGCTGGAGGCAAAACCAAGAGTTGCGTTGTAACTACAAAGTCCTTATTACGACTTGCCTCTCCACAAAAGGCCTTTGTTTTCATTTTTTTGTGAGCAAAAAGGAGAAAGCTACTGCTCTCTGCGACCGCTGTTTATGTTAATCCATAGTTAGTAATAATTGCTATTATCTATAATATAAAAATGCATCGCTGAATGTGTTGCAAAGCGCAAATCTCGAGAACAGCTGAACCGATTTCGATATTTTTTTTTAGAATATTCCTTGAAGTACGAGAATGGTTCTTACGCAGAGAAAAAATAAAAAAAATGTCTGAAAATGTCCAAAAACAACACTTTTCTAGACTTTTAAGTATTATTACGAATCGTTCAAGTTGAACGATTCGTAATAATACTTAAAAGTCAATTTGATTAGAAGTCAATTTGAACTTGAACTTTAATACCATCCATACCATAAATTTGAAATGTTAGTGGAGAGATACTGGGAGGCAAAATAATTGAGCGACGTGATGTCAATAGAAGTTTGGAAAAGGCATATATACCCAGAACCGTCTTTTCCAGTGGGCACTTTTGGCAAGTGCCCAGGTCCCGCGATCGATAGTGACCCCCCTCAGATCAAATACAAAGTCCCTAGTTCCTGTTAAATCACCAAACAGGGGTCGTAGGGGCCCCATTATCTTAATATGCCCAGGGCCGCCAATAGGTCAAAGACGGCACTGATACCATTTTCAGTGTTTTTTATAATTACTTATGTGAAGAGTCATTTAAATCTACACTACAGCTCTACACCGAAGCGAAGCGAGGGCGGGCCACTAGTATTTAAATAAATATAGTGGCTTGGGTTTTCATCTACCGTGATCACCTCGACTCGATATTTTGATCCTAGCTTGTCTGTAATTTCTATTTTGTATTTGTTTTGCTGTGTGAAATAAACGAAGTTTATTTTTTAGTAAAGTAATGTAAAACAATGAGCTGTTGTCGATTTTCATTTCCATAACATGCAACGTTAGCCTCGTATAAATTTCGGAGACAAAGTCCACAACCAAACACTGTGAGCATGTTGTATTGCATAAGTACTGACATGACAGCTTCTCGATAATCCAACTAGTCCTACGAATATTAAAAATTTGAAAGTTTGTATGTTCGTTACTCAATCACGCAAAAACGGCTTAACCGATTTGGATGTCATTTAGTACGCATACAGTTTATGACCAGGATTGAGACATAGGATACTTTTTATCCTGGAGAAGTATTTTAGGTTCCTGAGAGATTTTCACAAAACCCAGGCCAGGTAAACTAAAACTATGTGCGCACCAAATTTCATCTAAATCCGTACAATCGTTTTTGCGTAATAAGCTATTTCACATGTTTTAAAAATCGATCTCACGTTATTTACTCATATTATGGAGTCCATAAAAAGTAGATAATCATCACTCCGTTGCATATTTCCGTAATAAAACTAAATAAAAAATATTATTTGAAATTTGCCGCAAAAATGTTTCTCTGGACAATGGTTTTTACTACTATGTGACATCACACGACTGTCATTAAAACGACAAACGATACAATGTAATGTCACTTTGATCGGAAGTTTACTAGCGTGTGACGTATTTTAGCTTTCGCCAATCACAGTCATTTTTCGGTCACGTGACCATAGACCAAAAAAATCGTTTCTATTTAACGATTTTTTTGAAAATTTATTGAGTGTTTGTTCTTCCCGAATAGTAAAATTGTTATTTATTTTATTATTATTATTTTACTTATTCATATTAAATACAGTACCCTTAACACGAACCAATATCGAATTCGTAACGTTTGCGAGTCCGAAATGTCATTGTCAAAATTCTGATTTTTAGTTTTCGTTACGTACTTTGTGGCGCTGCTGTTCAAGTTTCCATTCAAATCAAAATTCAAATTTGACATTGACATTTAGCACTCGCAAACTATTCAAATTCGATAATGGTTCGTGCTGTCAAATAGTCTATTGAATAACAAACATAATATAAACTTTCACATTTATAATACTAGCTGCTGCCCGCGACTTCGTCCGCGTTAACTTTATTTTTATTAAAATCCCTCAGGAATCTTACAATTTTACGGGATAAAAAATATTTTATGTCTCTTTCCAGGTTAGACTATAGGAGTACAAAATTTCATCAAAATCCGTTAAGTAGTTTTTGTGTGATTGAGTTACAAATATAAAAACTTTCACATTAAATTTATAATATTAGTGGGTTTTGAAACGAAAGTTTAGAAAATCGAAATGTAGGAAATGTTCTGAGGACGAGAAAAGTAGTATTATCGCATCCGCCAATCTAAAATTGACTGAAAACAATATCTTAGGCAAATATACAAAATCAAAAAGTGGTCACAGACTGCAAATACATATAAATTACATATATAGAAATCGCTGAAATTTGTTCGTATTCGTTATTATTAAAATAATGTTTGTATGAAATTTTTTTTGTGAAATAATTTAGAAACCACCAGAGAATTTTTGATATACGCATAGTGTTTTTTTGATTTTTTTATTTTCTACGGGACTAGTATACAATAATAAAAATATCCTATGATATTAATTATTTGGGTAAAAGAATGGGATACCAAATATTAGTTTTATATATTATAATAGTACGGAACATCGCACATTTAATAGTAGGTCCCTGCCAAATGGTAGGTACTTTTCAACTGTATGTGCACGTTAAAGCATGTACGTTTTGTGACACAAAAAGAATGACTCTATTTGAATATTGCCAAGTATAAATAGCTGAGTAGTGAATTTGTTAATCACGTCAGTCACGAACATGGTACAAGTAAAGGTGAACGAAGGACTCCTTGAAGGGGAGCGGGTGACCAGCGATTTGGTCGGGACCTTCTATAGCTTTAAAGGAATTCCTTATGCGGCTCCACCTATTGGTGATTTAAGGTTCAAAGTGAGTGTATTTACTTATATAAAATTGCTTGTTGGTGCATTTACCTCCTTTAATTTAATATTTATTCATTTGTTTTCTATTATTACTAGCTGACCCAGCGAACTGTGTACCGCCATAAAAATAGGGGCAGGTGGTAGAAGAGAAAATTTCGGGTTGTATGTATTTTTAAATACCACATTATATAAAAAATATTGTCCAAAAAAATTTTAGGGGTGTGTAACGTAGTGTTCTATCAATTTCCTGTGATAACATTCCTCCTAACCCATATGAGAATACTACGTTACAATACCCAATAGTTTGAATTTTGGCGCGAAGGCGCATTGTAGGTTTCAGAACACTACGTTACAGGTGGACAACCATTATCACTTAAGGATATGAAAAACAGATAGTAGCCGATTCTCAGACCCAAGGAATATGCATATAAAATTTCATAAAAATCGGTCAGGCCATTTCGGAGGAGTATGGTTACTAACATTGTGACACGAAAATTTTATACATAAGATTTTACTCTCTTCCAAATATAGAAACCATTGAAAATCAATGATATGGTGAAATTAGAAGAAGAGCTTTTACTCGTTTGAATCGTCCAATATTGTTTCTGTCACCCAGGACATCTTTTAGCTGATGAGAAGAATGGGCGCTAGAAACTCATCAGCTTTTAACAGAAGTAGCAAAATTTACAAAAAAACATCAACCAATACAACGTCCATTCACATTTAGATTGTTGTGTCATACAGTATAAATACATCCAAGCAAGGCTTCTCTGGTGTATTTCTCAGTAGTGTGTTGATTTCATAATGGTATATTCCGAGAATATCATAGCGCGCATATTGGAATAGTTACTTCAGCAAATGCATTACTTAACATGAATAATTTTGAATATTTGTTTTGGTAATTTTTTGTAAGACAGATTGTTTGTTGAAGAAAGAGAACGACGTCGTGCCATATATCTATCTTTTAGATATTATAGACATGAAATCTTTGAAACATTTTTTATGAAATGACTTACCTAAATATACCTATAAAATTTCTTTTAGGCACTACAACCGGTTATTAAAATGTTCAAATTTTTTAAATGACGTACCTGAATATTATATCTCTTTAATTTCTTTTAGGCACCACAGCCGGTAAAACCATGGTCAGGCGTACTGAGTGCAAAACAACACGGTCCACAATGTCCCCAGTACAACATTATTTCAAAACAATTAGAGAACGGTAGTGAGGACTGTTTATATCTTAACGTCTATACACCTAACTTAGAACCAAATAAACCTCTACCAGTTATGATTTGGATTCACGGAGGATACTTTTGTTCTGGCAACGGGAACGATGACGTATTTGGCCCTGAATTCCTTATAAGACATGATGTTATCCTCGTCACTTTAAACTACAGGCTTGAGGTGCTCGGTTTCCTTTGTTTAGAAAATGAGGACATCCCTGGAAATGCAGGAATAAAAGACCAGGTGGCTGCCATGAAGTGGGTCAAAAATAACATCTCCAGTTTCGGCGGGGATCCGAATAATATTACTATATTTGGTCAGAGCGCTGGTGCGGTGTGCGTCACGCTTCATTGCGTGTCACCGATGACAAAAGGACTTTTCAGGAGAGCTATAGCTCAGAGCGGAACCTTGCAGAATTGGTGGGGTCGTGAGTTCAGACCCCGCGAAAGGGCATTTGCACTTGCAAAAAAATTAGGCTGTACCTCAGAAGACGAAAAAGAAATATTTAATTTTTTTAAGGAGCAGCCTTGGGAGAAACTTGTTGGTATCCAAATACCACTGACATGGAAAGAAAAAGATTTAACATCTGAAGGATTTATAACGATGTTTTCAATAGTAAGTGAGAAAGTTTTACCAAATGTAGAAACATTTTTCACTGGTGATATAACAGATGCATTGAAAAATAATGTACACGAGGGAGTAGAATTGATAGTTGGTTTCAACGAAGATGATGGAGCTATAACTTTTGCACTTATTCACGATATCGAAAACACTATCTCATGGGCAAATAATAGTGAAGGCTATTTCGTTCCAACAACCTTAGGACAAAAGTATAGCAAAGATGAATTGAAAGAAATTGGATCTGAAATGAAAAAAATGTACACCCGAGGTGAAATTGTCAGTAAAAATAATTTGAGCCCGGTAGCAAATTACTACGGCGCAGACTTCTATAAATACGAAATATTGCAATTTGCAAAGCAGTTTTCAGTTAAAAATAAAGTGTACTTCTATATATTTTCATGCTTCTCTGAGAGAAATGTGTTTGCAAAGCTATTCGGAATTTCATCATATTTTACAAAGAATGTAGTTAGTCACAATGATGATATTGCATATCTCTTTCCCATCAGTAATATTAACCAAAAAATACCGAAGACGTCAGTTAGTTACAATCTCATCTACAGGATGACGAGTCTTTGGACCAATTTTGCTAAGACTGGGTAAGGAACTGATGACTTGTTTCTTACTAAAACTACGTAATCTGGACAAAAGCATTTCAAAAATTATTAATTGAAAAAATCAAATCAATATCTATTGGTAAGTAAAAAAGGAAGTCATCTTGGAATCAACTAATTACTTTAAATTTTATTTTTTAGAAACCCTACACCAGACACAAAGCTTGGATGCAATTGGCGAACTTTTAACGCTAAAACGAAGTCCTATTTGAATATAGGTAATGAATTGACAAGGGGAGTAGCACCGCTTCGTGAAGAAATGGAGTTTTGGGAGAAGATGTATGAAAAGAGTGATAAATTATTCACTACCAAATCTTCCTGATGAGTGCTAGGTGTTAATAAAATAAATCATCATAGTGTTTTAATAAACTCTACATTCAAAATGTGTATAGGTCTTCTGAATAAAATTGACTCTAGAAAAATAAGGACTACTTGTTAAATATTCTTAATAGTTTTGTATTCTGTGATAGAATTTGGGAAAAAAGTATATTCAATGAGTCAACCTCAAAGTAAAGACATTATGCTGCCTCGGGCTTTTTTTTCAAAACTATTGATGATGTACAATTTTATCATACATGATTATGGGCAGTCGTGTAAATAAACAATGTTCAACAATTAGATAACTGTTATATGAACGGGATAATTATGTATTGTGTTATACTCATACATAACTCTTGCTTATCTCGAAATACGCAAGTTGGCAAGGTAATCCCGTGAATTTCACTGGCGACAGTGACAAATGAGTGCGGATGTGTTTAGTTCATTCATTGTGTACAGCTCTGTAGTTGTACCGAGCCGGTGTCCATTTGAATAATCCTCAATATTCTCTAAAATGGTGACGAAACGAGGCACAATTGCGAACTTCAAGTAGATTAAAATGACTCGATAATCGATTCGCCCTTATTAAAAAATGACTGGGAGAGTTCCATTTCGTTATTTATTATTTATTTTATCAATTTTAAGCTATTTAAATAAGAACTTTAGTACAGGAGAAAAAGCATTAAGAAATCTTTGTTCAATTTATCAGCATATAATAAAAATTTTAAGAAAAAAGATTACTTAATGCTTTTTTGGAATCGATTATGTTAAGCTCAACATTGTTTAAGCGACATTATCAAATATGTAATACTTATCATAAAAGAATAGAAAGTTATCAAAAACGCGCGATGGTATATCAAGTGTCTCATTAACCAGACTAAATACTAGCAATTGTTTGCTCAAAAAGAAATTCCTTGGGTAAGCAGTTACAACTTTCATATATATTTTTATTCGATCTCAAGTCAGGATAGTAGATTGGCTTCGCTTGCATTATCAAAATAGTCGCATATTCACGGTATATCAGGAGCGAAATAAATCAGCTTAAATATTTTTTTGTTAAAATAAACCAGGGTAACAAGCCCATGGTTCGCCTGTCGGAAAGCGGCCACCAATGCCTATGTATTTCCTCGTAATACAAAAGTAACAATCGGTTTTTGCCTATCCTGATCTGCACCTATTCCATTCCCTACTTTCCCTCTTTCAACGATTGAAACATACCACCAAAGGGAGTGGAAAGGGGAGGGGGGGGGGGGGGTTATCTAGTATGTCTCTCTTATTCTTTTGCTCTTTTAATTTTATGGTAAAATGCAGTAAATATTCAGAAGAGTGAAGAGAAGAATAAAACCATATTTATTTCGTTTTGGTTCCGGTGAGCCAGAATCCATACTAAATGTTAGTATTCGCTATGTGCGAAGTACATGGTGGGGGTATTGTGAAACGATCGCAGCGCTTATCGTGGCAGAAATACGCAACAATCCGGGAAAGTAAAGTCAATTTGCACGGAGTTCGTAATAAATAAATTTTTTAAAAAGCCTAATAATAGATGTTGTTGTGTTGTGAACTGCAAAAATAACGGCACAAATAGTCTGTGTTTATATTTCCTACATTGGACTGGAAATTAAATCAAAGAAATAAGTGGATAGATGCCATAAAAAGAAATAAGTAAGCGAAATAACCATAAATTATGATCAATTTTATTTGCGCTATATTTTATGTGATATTCATTATTTTCTTTATTATTTTAGTGTAGATGGGTCACCATGGTATCCCAAACCTGACGACACAATTTGTAGTGAACATTTTATGGGAAAAAAAATCAGACGAGGAAGAAAATCCGAGTTATGCTCCTTCGAATATTCCCTGAAATATATCGAAAGAGGAAGGTTAATGATTCACAGGTCCTAGCTAGATATACACACTTGACAAAACGATGAACCACAAAGTCTCAGATACCACATCAAGTCAAATAATAATTAAATCAAACTCAACCTTTTATGGTCGATCAAGTATGTCAAGTCAATATGTTTTCTGAATCGAAATTAAGAGATACAATTTTTATTTGTATTAGATTAATTTACAACGATCACTGTGATGCTGAAATCCAAGCAGATATAGCAACACCAAGAATTTTAATGACAAATAATTTAAGAAATAAAGATAAAAGCTGTGGCACTGACAAAAAATCGTATGAGGATCAATCTACCGAAACAAAAAGTCAAGAATTTGTTGGTATTTCATCAATAAAAAATGATCAAGAACTCCTAGATCTTGCTGGTGTGTCATTTAGCAATTTTGAGTTTTTATTAACTATAAAAAAACTGTACAGTTTCCACTAAAGACCGACTTCTGATTTTTTTGATAACAATGAAAACTGGCTTGACATTTTCAGCATTGAGTGTGTTATTTGGTGTACACAAAACCACAATCTCACGTATATTTCATTCGATCTTACAAAATGTAGCTTGTTCAACTGCTAATTTAATCTTTTGGCGGAATAGAGCCACCGTACAAGCAACAATGCCCAAGTGTTTCAGTCCAGATTACATCAATACAAGAGTTATTATTGACTGTACTGAATTCCGAATTGAAATCCGACAGTATTTAAATTATTATACAATATATAATATTTTTTATTTATCTTTAATTTACTATAGTTACTAGAAATCAATAAAATACAAACTGATGTCATTATTTGGCATAATCCCGGAAAGTTGCGCATTGTAGGTGGCGCTACTGTCGTGCACATAGCGAATATAGGTACGAGGTTTGTTCAAAAAGTATTGCGAATTTTGAATTTTCGCGTTATATTGGTACTCATGACCCTCACTTATGTTGACAATTTCGGCCATTTTGAATGTCCAGTCAGTTTTTGACAGCTATTGTGCGTGGGCGTGTTTTAGCTTGTCTTCGATTTTCGTCTATTCCAAAAAATGGATCAAAGTATTTGTATCAAATTTTGTGTGAAGAACAACTTAAAGTGCGCGGATGCATTCAGAATGTTGACTGTTGCATACGGCGAAGTTACTTTGGACAAAAGCAACGTTTATCGGTGGTACAAAATGTTCTCAGAGGGCCGAGAAGATGTGAGCGACGAAGAGCGTTCCGGCCGGACGCCCGAGCACGTCAACAACAGACGAAAACATTGATGAAGTAAAGAAACTAGTATTGGCCAATCGTCGAATCACCGCCAGAGAAGTTGCTGAGGACCTAAATATATCGATTGGCTCGTGCCATTCGATTATTACGAATAGTTTGGGCATGAGACGGGTAGCCGCGAAATTCGTACTAAAATTGCTCAATTTCGACTGCGAATTTTTGGCCAAAAACAACACTCTAATAATGCCGCAGCCACCGTATTCCCCAGAGCTGCCCCCCTGTGACTTTTTCTTGTTCCCGAAACTGAAGAGGCCCATGAAAGGATGACGCTACGCCACGATTGAGGAGATAAAGATGGCATCGAAGGAGGAGCTGAACAAGATCACAAAAAATGTTTTTTCAAAATTCTTTGAGGATTGGAAAAAACGTTATCACAAGTGTATAATGTCTGATAGGGATTACGTTTAATATGTATTTCTATATAAATATACTTATATATGTACTGTATATGTATTCTATCCGTTACCCTAGTATCCCATAACACAAGCCTTACAGTGCTTACTTTGGGGCTAGGCTAATTGGTGTGAGTGTTGGAAATATTTATTTATTATTTATTTATTTATTATAACAATATTACTGAAGCGAAAATACTTTTAAGATTTGCGTTTTTATTTTTTGTTCGCCTATTTACTCGTACTATTCAGACAGTACACGAGAAAGAAAAGAGTTCATAAATAAAATATGCCCCGTCATGCGTCCATAAAATTACATAATGGCGCTACATTGCAGTAAGCCGTAGCAGATTCGTAGCACTTTAGGGTTTCGTAGCGTAATTAGCCTTTTCTGTAGGTAGAAAAACTGAATAAAATATCCAACTAATATTCGCTACATTTAGTCCTGCAAAATGGCTTTTTACTTTGATTTTTATGCAATTGTTAGTTAATTTTGGTACGTTGTGTAAGTGAATTAAATACTTGATGCCTAGGCACTATATGTGTGTGAAAATAACATAGAATTTTAAATTATCAAAACTTATATTTGGTTGATTAGAGTTGCCATCTCCAAAAGGTAGGCAAAAACTGTTTAAAACTTCCATGATCTTCAATTGAAATAATCTCTTATCTATTAGACAAGTCCGTCCGTCCGTCTGTCTGTGGTGCTGTTTCAGCGGCCAAACCGTAAGAGATAGATAAAGAGAATGTTTAAGTTATAAGTTAAGAATAGTCTGATAAGACTACAAACCGGATTTGAGTAACGTAGCACTTCCGGTTTTTGAGAAATCACGAATTTCAAACGAAACCACACAAAATCTCCGAAGTTCTCAATTAATTAAATACATTTTTTTTAAATCAGGTTTTGGTGAACATTTGGTTCACTGGTTTGCTAGTTTTATTATAACTTAAATATTGGACGGTATTATGTTCAACTACCACATATTACTTTACAGGTTAATCGTGAAATGGCGTAAATAAATGTTCGCAGCCAACTCTCCCCTTTTCAGCTTACCCGTAAATATCTCATTTTCTTTTAATAGATCTAACCTATACCCTATCTGTCCCAGTTCCCCTATCAGAGGATAACTGGGGCATACAATAAGCTAGGGAGTCTAGTTACGCTTACATTTATCTTCAAATGAAGAATATACATATAAAAAGTGTTTTCTATAGTATAAGTGTTGTTTTAAAGTTTTAAATCATTGTGTTGTGATGTATGAATATTCCACAAATAATATTAAAACAAAAAAAAATCAGTTTAGGCTTTTACATGCCAAAATGTGAAAGTTGGAAACTGCGGAAAGTTGAAAACTTCGCCATCGGTTCGCAAATTAATCCACGACAGGAGACGAAGAGCTGAGAAGAACCGGCAAGAAATTAAAAAAAGGGGCTGCTTTTTTCTCCCTGTTTAATTTCATACAGTGTCGTCGTCCATTGAGAGTTGCCATTAAAATTTATAATCATAGATTGAGAGGTATTTTTAGTAGTAATATGTATAGTAATGAATTATTTCGAACGCGGACGTATCATTTCACTGAAATTGATTCTCTCCGTAACCATACGTGGAACTTTAACTATAGGAATATTATTTTAGCTGCGGTAATGAAATTTCCAGTATCGTATCAGCGGCGTACGGTGCCAGTGGCCGTTTTCGGTTGAATATTGAAATACGTTTGAATTTTCACGGTGAATTAAATACTCGTAAAATGACGCGCGCTGTGTATTTAAGCGGAATTTATTTACTCTGTTTAAACAAGAGCACTGTTGTGTGTGACGAGTTTCACACTAAATAGCTTAAGGGCGTTGAACAAACAAATGTACTTACAAATATTTGTTGAAAATAGAGTGTTGTTGTGTTATTAGTATATGCGTCTGGACCCACGATGCGAGTATATCTGGTTAAACGTTAACTAGGTAGGATAATTGGATAGTCAAAATTTATCAAAAGATGATCAACATGAAATAACTTAAGTCGCCATAGAGCGAAAAGTCCTTAAGTAGGTGAAAACCAAAGATATGAATCGTGTCAAAACATGTTTTGAATTTGGTGATTTTGATGGCATTTCTAATTAAATTTTGAACAAATGTCGATTTGGTGACATTTCGCTCTACGGTGACGTGGTTAGCTCTGTCTTGTGACCAAAAAGCCAGTGAAAATTCAATGGATTCTTGGATCTCCTCGTCTCTTCATACATCTGTTCAAAAAATATTTTATGAAAACTCGATGTGTGTGTGTGTGTGTGAGTGTGTGTGCGCGTGCGTGCGTGCGTGCGTGCGTGCGTGTGTGTGTGTGTGTGTGTGTGCAATAAATTGTCGAACAAAATATTGATTCAAATACCAAAATACCATTAGCGTAAATAACCTATCTTCGTCGACTTCGTCTGCGTTAACTATAGCTCTTTGGAAATCCTTCAGGAACCTAAAACTTTTCCGGGACAAAAAGTATTTTCAGTCTTAATCCAGGTCATAAACTATATCCATTCAGCCGTTTCTGCGTGATTAAGTAACAAACATCTTTCACATTTAGCATTTACCATAGGTTACCTGGAAGAGATTGCTGTTTAGCAATAAGGCCGCCTATTGTATACTCTTCTTCATTTAATAAGTTTATGTCTTGTGTCCTTTTTTGTGTGCAATAAAGAATATATTATTATTATTATTTAGTAAGATTAGTTAAATATTTATTGATTTTAAGATGTTTTGAAGTTACATATAATTATAGGTAAGTATTATAAAAAGTGTTTATAAATAGCAACGATTATTATGGAACGCTCCGTTTTACGATTAAGTACCCAATCGCTTACATTCGCTTGCACTTAGAAAGTGCTGACTGGCGCACCTTAAACAATACGTCGTTCAGTAAACCACTCGTGACACTGGCGCCACTCTGTACGGAAAGGCCCCGTTTGAACAAAAATGTTTCTGAGGGTATATAATAAACATCAGACGTTTCCCCATCCCGTAAGTACTCAACATGAATGATGAAAAATCTTTTTATTTTTTAAGTTAAACAGCTGAATGTTTAAATCTAAATGAAATATTAATAGGAAAAGTTTATTCAGTAAAAAAAATGTTAACACTCATAGTAAATTGTGTGTCATGAATCTGTCATAGCCAGTCGAAGTCGAGGAAGGTAAAACATTTCCTTCCTTATTTATTTTTTAGAGATATGAGGTACACAAATTACAAACATTTGTGAAAAAACATCTAAAGTTGCTATTGAGATAAGCCGATTAACTGTTAAGTCAATATTCTTTACAGCCTTCATTATAAAAGTCGACTAAGAAGCTTCAAAAATTTCATTCCGTTTTTGTAACGCTAATTCTCTATAGTTTGAAATGTGAAGAATCATCACTGATTCATTAAGAAAGTAGGACGGAACAACAAAGTCACGTACTAACTTACTGAATGGAAATCAACAGACATCAGATAATTTGGGCCAAAGAACTCTCCTTTTAGCAGTAGGTAGTAATAAGTTAGGAGCAAACGAATGCTTAATAGCGCGGACGAATAATCCACGAGTTTCTTTCAGTATAGATTACTTCACAATACTTTTACTCGACTATGGAAAGTTTGGGAAGTGTAATGATTTAATAAATCTATGTTTGTATGTTTTACCTTAGCAGACTGAACTACTAAACTGCTGTTCTGTAAGAACCAACACAATTTAAAATTGATTCAGTTGTGCTATTCTGACAAGCACACTTTTCAACTGAAATGAGATTTCAAATAAGAACATCAATTAAAAAAAAACTCAACAGGCGAATTTCGCGATGAAAGTGAGTTTGTCAGAATATAATTTGTCAGTTTGTCAGCGCAACTGTAGAGCAATTCTGTAGAATAAAATCTCTATTCCGATTTGTGTAGCTGCCATTTTAGACATTAATTTACAGGACAAAATGTCGCTATGTCTGTAGAAGCAGTCAGTATTAGATATTTGACATTTGTCATAAAGCGGAATAAATTAGTTTGCAAGTGAGATTGCATCTTACAGAATCCTATGTTGAACTGATTTAAAAAAAATCGATCCTAATTGAAGTTTGGAATAATATAGAAATGAGTGATATATGATGATGATGAAAAAAAACGTGAAAGTCTTAATTTCGAGAAGGATGTTAAAAGAAAATGGGGAGAAGAACTATTAAGAAGAAAAGTGCTATTTTACATAATATCAGGGTTTTAGGCTTAGGACTTTATACTTTTTGTTTAACTTGGTCCTGTTAGTGAAACATCATAAATTAACTCAAAATCGTCAATTCATTGATGCTGGAGTTATATGATTGTTCAGCAGTACTATTACATGAGCCCTGAAAAGGTCCCAAAGATATATGGAAAATATATTTTCGGTATAACTGTTTTAACTCTGAGTATTTTGGTATGCCCAAGAGGAGTATTCGTTCGGCAAAGTATTCTTGCGAAAAACTATTAAACAATGCCATACAAGTTAACCATACCTAGGTCTAAGAATGTAGGGAAACAAAACATGATTACATTATTTGAAAATGTTGGTAAAGCATCAATCACATCTGGCGCCTGAGTTGTACACTTATCTTTAAACATAACATAATATATTTGCATCTAATTGTCTTTTATAAAGTTTCATATGTTCGTGCGCCTTGTTTTCTTGTAAGTTACTCTCAAATTTCTTCGCAATTGTATAATAAAGCCTCAGGCGTCGAAAGCTTTTATGGCGCTCTCGCGAGCACGGTTCACGAAATTGGGAAACTTCTCTTTGAAATCCTAAGTAAGCATTTGTGTTTGAAGTAATTTTAAATTTTTGTTCGTAACAAAATAAATAAGTACTTACAGGAAATTGAATATCCTGCTCAATTATGAAAAGGTTCTTTTATTGATAATTATGAAATTTTCACTTCATTCAGTTAAAGAACGAAATGGAATTTATAAAAACATTGTGTCAGCATCGGAATTCAGATTATGAATTCATATGGCTGGATTTAGATTATGTAAGACCAA